GTTTAAAATACAGGTTTAGAGTCATACTTGGATTTGGATGCTGGTTCTATTACTTACTTATGATCTTGGGGATGCTACTTCATATCTATGAACTTTAGGACGTTTATCAATAAAATGTAGATAACAATGAGCAAATGTATGTCGTATCTTCAATAATGGCTCTCCAAAGATGTGCACATCCTAATCCCCAGAAACTGTGGTGGTTACCTCATACGGTAAAAGGGATTTTTGCAGATGTGATTAAGTTAAGGATCTGGTGATGGGAAGATCTTCCTGAATTATTCATCAGAGTCAGTAGTACGAGATGGGTCCATGGAAGCAAGAGATTAGAATGATACATGGAAGGGCCACATGCCGAGGAATGTGGGTGGCCTCTAGAAGCTAAAAAAGGCAAGTAAATGGATTGTCCCTTAAAGCTTCCAGAAGGAACCAGCCCTGCCAACACCTTGACTTTACACCACTGAGACTGATTTTGAACTTCTGATCACCAGACTGCAAGATAATAAATTTGTGCTTTAAGTTTGTGGTGATTTGTTGCAGCAGCAATAGGAAACTCATGGAGTATGTAAAGCACAGACAAGGTACACCAAAAGACCTATTCTACTGCACAAAGGCTGAAGACCCACCTCAATCAATTTCACCCACTAGTTGCAAAGCAGCCTGTGGATACAGGGATGATCTAGGCATTTGTGTTACCATCATGGGAAAAACCCAAGGTATATTTCAACAACTGCATATTAGAATGATAATATATTTATACTAGTATGTATAGGATGTCACATGACAATTTAAATTTTAGTAACGCTTGAATATAAAAATAGCAAATAATCAACTTAATGTGACATAAATAAAAAATTAGGGATGTAGTTCCTAAGCTCTGATATCAGTCTGAAGGTCAGAGATCAAACGTCTTAGTTGGGATGTAGCTAGGGGCATAGTTACAAATCCATAGAGGGGGGCGTCTAAGGTCATTCACCGATTCCTTGAATGACATATGAATTTCCTCTACATCATCTTCAATGGGAGATTGTCCAGTCTCTTCTTAAGCACCTTCAGTGGATAGGGGACTCGCTTTCCACTAGTGTTAAGTAGCTTCATCAGGCAGGAGGCAGCAGGGAAGGTAGGAGAACACTTTTTCCGAGTCCTCACTT